CCGAGATCACCCGAGATCACCCGAGATCACCCGAGATCACCCGAGATCACCCGAGATCACCTCGTAGGCTGGGCGGGCGACCCGGCGGCGCGGCCCGATTGCCGTGCGGTGACGGAGGTGCTCAAGACGCTCTGAGCGCGGAGGAGACTCCGCAGGTGACGACGGCCCGGACGGCCCTCGGCTCAGACTTGTTTGAGAGAGCTCGCGGGCTGCCGGAGTCGCGAGCCGAGAGCATTCGAGGGCTTTGGGGGGGGTGGGGGGGGGAGGGATCGAGGGGCGGTCGCTCGAGCTGCTGCGACCGCGGACGCCCAAGAGGCGCGGGCCCATAGGGGACGAGGTCCTTTGGCGCACCAGCTATCTTCCTTGGGTAGCGCAGAGGCCCCGTCCGGCGCCCCGCATCTTGTTTGTGCCGTGGAGAGGGCGTGTGCGTGTGCATGCTCGAGAGACGAGAGGAGAGATCATGTGTGTGTGTGAGTCTCCCACTGGCTTGGCGGCAGCCGTGGCTAGTGGGTCCATCGGTCTTTGTTTGGGAGGGTGCCCGCGAGCCGCCGCGTGTGTGTGCACGTGCACGTGCGCATGAACGTCACATGTGCATCTGCATCTGCATGTGCATGTGTGCATGCACATGCACATGCACATGCATGTGCAGCATATGTGCAGCGGTGACGCGTTAAACAATACGCGTGATGAAAAAATGCTATAAAGAATTGTGAAATGCAAAAACCGGGCACACCCAATGTGCAATGAGACCCTTCCTCTCTCTACGGCTCTAACTCGATCCCCTTGGAGCTCTTGCTGTATTTAATCCACTCCCCCCTGGCCCTGCCAGCTGCCTGCCCCGGAATCGCGTACCCGTACACGTACAAGGTACAACTACGGGGTGTGGACCGTGAGTTGACCAGGGGTTGTGCGCCGGGCCCGCTCCTGCTCGGCTCCACCTCCAGCGAGTACGGCTTTGACAAGTGTTGTCTTGTTTGGTATTGCTAAAAATATCTCTCTCTCTCTCTTAACAGAGGAGAAGGATGGGCAAGGATCTGACCTCAGGGTTGATGTGACCAAGGTCCAAGCGGCAAACGCTGGTAGCGTGGTTTTATTTACCTCACACCCATCCATGGTCCCACAGTGTGCCGGCAGTCGCCGAGCAGTGTCGCTCACACAAGCCGCAGCACAAGTGACTGAGGGCCAGTGAGGGCGAGGAGATGCAAGGAGATACGGGGAGATACGGTCAGATATTGCAGAGATACATCAAGATACCGCAAAAAAACCGTCCGCACTAGGGCTCGTGTGTAGCGGCGCGAGGCGCGGGATCCGGGAACCGTCTGTGGCGAGGTGGGTCGCGTCCTCCGATTTCCTCAACTGTCTCACGGTCCACACCCTTTATCAGTGCACCAGTGCGAGTGGCCTATGTGTAGAGTAGCTACGGTATACACCTG